TCTCTCTCTCTCTCTCTCCCTCCGTCCATATCCCATTCACTTTCTCCTCCCTCCTTTCTTTCTCTCTCTTTCCCTCTCTCTCTTTCTCTCTTTCCCTCTCTATCTTTCTTTCTCTCCCTTCCTTCCATCCCCCCTTTCTTGGTCTATCCCTTTTCTTCCTTTCTCTTCCTTTCTCTCTCCATTTTTCTTTGTTTCCCTTTTCTTTCTTTACTTTATTGCCTGTTCCTTCTCTCTTTCTCTTTCCCTCTCTTTTGTCTCTCTCTTTCTCTCTCTCTTTGCTTCTCTATCCCTTCCCTAACCTATCTACCTATTTTCTGCCTAGGCAGGCATGGCCTAATCTAACAAAGGCCTAGGCTAATCCTGCATGCTGCCCGCTCTCCCTTCACCAGTCACACGCATCATCCCATTTCCCCTTTCAGAAGCCCCAGCCCTTAATCTCCCCGTTTCCTCCCCCACGAACACCTCTTTCGTCATCCCACGGCCGTGACTTTACCTTCCTCCCGCGGCTGGCTGCCAGGGAAGGCAAGCCAGGGCTGAGCCATTGTTGTTGTTGGGCTCCCGCCAGCCCATGTCGCCCTTGTCACGAATGCCTGCAGCCGCCACGTAGTTTTTTTCAGGACAGCTGGACTCCAGCCACACCGAAAAAAAGATGCAGCGTCTGGAGGCTTTTTGCAGTGAAAATTACCAATCTCTGGCTTTGCTTGCTCCACTTCTACAACGCGCCAGCACGGCCATGTCTAGGCGTCAACCATGCAGGTTCACCCCATTGAGCCCACTGCACCAGAGGGACTTGCCCAGCATTGGAGAAGCGGAGTAAGCAAAGCTGGAGGTTGGTAATTTTCACTGCAAGAAGCCTCCAGACGCCACGTCTTTTTGCCACTTCTTTGCTGGCCGGAACCGAGCCAAGCTGGAGGATTCTCCTGCCAATAAAGAGGTGGCGGTTGGAGGCTTCTTGGCAGGGGGATGGGGAGACGGGGAGACTTGGAAGGCAGCCCCTGCCTGTCCTTTTTTGGTCCCTCCCTCCGCATCGAAGTATCGTAAAGTTGGGACAGCTGGGGCAGCTGCCTTCCGAGCAGCAGCGGAGCAAAGTTCACCCAAGTCTTCTCCTTCTCAGGCATACACAGAGCAATGCATCTCATGGTGCCACAGGGACTCGCCCACCTGCCGTCTCCTCGCAAAAGGTCCCGGCCTCACATGTGCACATGTGAGGCTGGGATCTTCTGTGAGGAGACGGAGCATGGGCTACTGGCTTGGTTCTGGCTGGCAAAGCAGCAGCAGCTGGGGCTTGCCGCCCTGTTCTTCGCACCAGGGTGCATTTCATTGCCTAGAGTGGAGGTGCGGGCTGGTGGAGAGCCCAGCAGCTCTCAGCCCTGGCTTGCCTTCCCTGATGCTTTGCCACCCACGCTATGCAGGCCCGGGCAGCATAGCATCGTGCTTCCTGGCTGCCCACCCCCCACCTCTGCTCCTAGTAGGCAAGGCCCAGCAGCTGCGGAGAATCCAGGCGGGACCCAAGCAGTGACGGGTCAGCCTTGGCTCACCTTCCTCTCAGCTACCAGTAAACCAGACAAGTGGAGTGGTGGGGGAAGCTTGCTAGACACGAGTGCCACATGGAGCCGCAGCGCTGATGGCTAAGCAAGCCAGGGGGTGGGAAGTTGCTAGGCCATGAGTGCCGCATGGAGCCGCGGTGCTGGTAGTTAAGCAAGCCAGGCAAGTTTGGGGGGGGGGAGCTTGCTAGGACATGAGCACTGAGAGTGGTGGTGGCATGGTGGTGGGGACCTAGGCTGGCCTAGGAGTCAGGACTTAGCCGGGGAGTGTGGTGGCGGTAGCGGAAAGGGTGAGGGTGGTGGCAGCGTGGCGGCCTAGGTTGGCCCAGGAGTCAGGACTCAACTGGGGTTGACAGCAGCAGTGGCATGTAGGCGACCGAGGCTTGCAGAGCCTCACTCACCTAGGGAGATCAGGTGGTGGAAGGCTGGCTGGCTGCTACTGCTACTGGAAGCAATGGTGGCGGGCGGAAAAATGTGGGAAGCAATGTAGCGCACATGAGCTATAAGGAATGACTGGGTGGGCAGGCTGGGGAGAATGCTGTCAGTGATTGGTGTGCATGCGTGCGATGTCGCGCATGCACACTAAGTATTGACTAGGCAGGGAACGGAGGAGTGGGCAGAGAGGGATGGGGCCAGCCAAGGGCCCATTTTACCAGTTCTCCTAACTACCGGGAATCGTAACTGGTTCTGCCGAACCGGTGTGAAACAGTAGAATTCCACCCCTGGTCACATGCCTTGGTACTGTTGAATGGGCACACTCACCTTGCACTCAGATTCAGCATGCTTGCGCCTGGTCTCACTCAACTGCGTCTGCAACCCTTTGTTTTGGGCTGTGAAATACTGCACCTTTTCGTGCAGCCCAGAACACTCCTGTTCCATCCGATTGAGGAGGTTGCTGTGAATCTGATCCTAGAAAAGAAGAATTAGGGGCCACTGATACTCTAACACTTATTCATCCAGTTTGGTGCAGTGGTGCTGGCCTAGAAACTAGGAAAGCATGAGTTCTAGTTCCCACATAGGCATGAAAGCTGGATGGGCACTCTCTCTCAGTCCAACCCCCCACCCTCACAGGGTTACTGCTGTTGGGAAAATAGGAGGAAAAAGGAATATTTTGTATGTTTGCTGCCTTGAGTTACTTATAAAGCAACAAAACTCAAATAAATAACTACATTATTGCATTTGTTGCCCAATGTGTGTGCACACTCATGTAGACAGACGTAGATAATTCCTTATGCATGAAAACTTTGCACTTCCACATTCAATATAAAATTGCATGTTTAAAAAAAGGAAGGATTGCTACTGTATATCTGAGTTAGGAAAGAAAGAAATTACAGATAGAAAGTTCTTATAAAGTCTAGTCATAACTGTCTGGATGTAGAAATACTCTTAAGGGAGAGGAGAACTACCACAATTGTCACACCCTCACCTGGGTTTCAAGCTCTACCACTCTTTGATGCAACTCCCGGACCTCACCCTGAGCCTGTGTCTCACGCAGACGGAGATTCATCAGTTCATCTTGGAGATCATTTATTGTATTCTTTCGTGGAGAGTCCTTCCACCGCCCTCCGGTCCGGCTCAGATGAACCTAAAGGGAGCCAAACAACGATTTGCAAATGTAGGCACAGGTATATTGGATCCAGGGGTACCAAGGTACCATTTCCTCAACACATGTTTAATATCTGTTGATCCACCGTGTACAGTAACAAGCCGTTTGCCTCCAAGATCTCAGAGACGCCTTTTCAATCTTGTATGAAGAAATTGCTGCATAAATGTATAGTCTACATAAAAAGTATGTGCTATACCAGGTTCTCTCACCAGTAACCATAAACACATTGCTACTTTATCAAACATTTAGGATCTTGTTCCTTAAAGTGATTTATGCATCAAATCAGATTTTATTAAGCTCCTGGAGCTTCCAAATCTAGGCTACAAAATCCTGATGACCAGTAGATGGTAGCAAGGAGATACAAGAATTTCTAGTCACTTATTGCCATTTAGTGGTTATTCAAACATCTGCAACCCCAAAAGTGCTTCTTTATTAACTCGTTTGATAATAACTGCTAGCCTTCTATACAAAGATTTCCATTAAAACAATGAACCTGGGCAACAAGTCCTAACAAGTGAGGTGTTGTCAGGTATAGCATCCTTCAACTATAGCCTACCTGCCAATTGTCATTGAGCTCCTTCACTTGCTGTTGCAGCTCTCTGAAGGATTTCATTGCCTCAGACTCCCGCAACTTCATAGCTTTCAGTTCTTCCTGTAGACGGGCCACATTGTTTTCATCTGGAAGCAAGCTGTTTTTCTGGAAAGGAGATGACTTAAGTATTAGCTCTATATACCTCTTTAGGTTTGCCACAACACAGATAGAAGAACCTTTAGCCTGTTAGGTCTCCCTATGCAACTCTTGACACCTCAAGCAAGTCTGCCCTCCTTCCCTCATATTTTCTCCCTGCAGTGTCGCTGCTTTGGACCCAAGAACTGTCCAGTAGCACAGAATGGTTGGAAGATGCTTCTAGGCATTCTACCAAAGCACCTGTGATGTCAGATCTGCACCCAGAGGTGGTCCTTGTTTGCCTTCCCAACACAAAATCCCGAGATGAATATAGCCGATAATTTATATATATAAAAAAGGACTGCTGATCTTTCCTCATTCGCCTGAGTACAACATCATTATACATGCCTTCAAAAATTCTTATTTGTTACAGGTAAATATGTTACCACAAAGAATAAAAGGGGATACTCTTAATAGAACAATGAGGAAGGAAAAAGCAATCCTCGAATTTTCATTTGTTGGAATGAATACATTTTGTTGTAATCTTTATCAAAATTCATGATGCAGAGAAGACTCTATCAAAGCATCTATTCTTAGACTTTAGCTAATTCAAACATTGCTATCTGGGATCCTGCCGTGGTTACTTTCTAACACTTGTGTGCTTCTGTATCAGTCTTTGAAAGAAAATATACCTTTTCCATGTCCAGAACTTTATCCTGCATCTCTTTAAGAGCACTCAGAGTTTCAGATTCCCTCAAGCGCGATTGTTCCAGTTCTGTTTCCAGGTGGCTCACAAATTCCTCAGAGTAGCGGGGATTTCCCTACAGAGTAAAAGAAATGTTAGTAAATCAATGGAAATCATGAATGAACGAGTGCTCTCTCTAATGTTCCTATAGTTTTTATTGTAATCCATTAACTCTAATTTGTACAACTAGAATCCATAAACGCATAAGTTGTAAGGTAGGCAACTTATACATTCTTTGAATGGGTTATTTTAAAGAAATGTCAATTAGGAGAGCAAAGGAAAGAGATGCTTAAGGCTTTTCGTGAAAGCCGTTCTTCTAAATAAACTATCCCCTTGCCCTTTTTTAGTTGCTCTTTTTGAAAGAAATAAGCAGCGCAGGGAGGATGACTTTGACCTCAAACTAAATTATAGCCCATAGAAAAAGAGGATAAACATCACTCTGCTTTATAAAAGCCATGGCTTCCTAGTGGATTACAGTTCAGTTGTTCCTTTTTTCATTTCAGGAGACTTATACATAGAACTCTCCAATTTGGCCTTCAATCATAGGTTAGGATTATTAGGAATAGCCAGGTGTAATTCTTTTTCTAGATGGGATTTCCTCAATTGGGTGCTTTAGGATGTTTCATACAATAAGTCACAAGATCTCTAATGGGCATAAAAGCTTGGGTTAGGAGTTTGTTTTGTAATCCGATATATTCAGATGCATCGGGTTGGGGAAAAGACTAAAGTAGGGTAGTTATTCAAGCAAGAATCGGTGTAGATAGAATCTTCCCTAAATCTAATACTGGGAAAAGAGCAAAAGAAGGTCCTGCACTGGCATGGCTGATCTCAAGAAGAAAAAAAATCAACTACCAAAATCAACCCAGTAAAAGATATAGCTTTGTATGGCCTATTTTAACAAATTGCAATGGGAATGGGAATCTCTAGAATTGTCCATTCTAGGTTTCCCCCACAAAACCGGTCACATGAATTTAAAAACCCGGTGGCTTAACCAACTGGGGGCTTGCACGTAATTTCTTTATGTACCCCCTCCCCCCTTCATCATGCATCATTAATCCCCTTTCACTCCAGTATCTTCCACTCTTATAGTTACTTGTTGGTCCTGAAGTTGCTGAATGGTGCTTCGCGCCTTCTGCAAATTCTCTGTAGCAGAGCAGCATTGTTGCTTCACAACTGCCAGCTCCCGCTTGATAATGTAATTCTCCTCAGCCTCCTGTGCACGAGTAACTTGGCCCTAAAGAAGAGAAGACTCAAAGCTGTTTTTTTCTTTCTTTCAAGAAAGTGACATTCATGTGGGGTTTCTTTATGAACAGCAAAACAAAGGAAGCATTTGTTTGATGATAGTAAGATGAATACAATTAGATTTAAAACAAAACTTTCGCAACCATCCTTACTAAAGTTCAGCATTCTGAAGTGTTGCTCTATTATAAAGCAAGAAGACATTTCCACTGCTCATACATCTTAAAATCATTTTGCTTGAAGTTTGACTCAAAGACTTTTCAGAATGAGTAATGGAGTTATGTACAAAATCAGAACCATATCATAAAGCAGGTAAGATTGATTACTGCTGATATGTGCTCAGAGTTTCAAATTCCAAAAATCTGAGTTCAAAACACCCTGCTTGGGCTTGAAGAAAAATTAACAGATAACAGATAATCAGAGTTAGAAGGGACCTTGTAGGTCATCTAGTCCAACCCCTGCCCAAGCGGGAGACCCTACACCATTTCTGACAAATGGCAGTCCAATCTCTTCTTGAAAGTCTCAAGTGATGGCACTCCCACAATTTCTGAGGGAAAGCTGTTCCATTGGTTGATTGTTCTCTCTGTCAGAAAGTTTCTCCTTATTTCCAGGTTAAATCTCTCCTTGTTCAGTTTCCATCCATTATTCCTTGTCTGGCCTACAGGCGCTTTAGAAAATAGCTTGACCCCTTCCTCCCTGTGGCAGCCCCTCAAAATTGGAAGACTGTTATCATGTCTCCCCTGGTCCTTCTCTTTACTAGACTAGCCAAGCCCAGTTCCTGCAACCGTTCGTTGTATGTTTTAGCCTCCAGTCCCCTAATCATCCTGGTTGTTCTTCTCTGTACTTTTTCTAGAGTCTCAACATCTTTTTAATAATGTGGTGAACAAAACTGGATGCAGTACTCTAGGTGTGGTCTTACTAAGGCTTTATAGAGTGGTATTAGTACTTCCCTTGATCTTGATTGTATCCCTCTGTTAATACAACTTAGGATTGCATTAGCTTTTTTGGCGGCTGCTGCACACTGCTGGCTCATATTTAGCTGGTTGTCCACTAAGACTCTAAGATCCCTCTTAGTTACTGCTATTGAGCCTGGTTTCACTTAGTCTATAGGTGTACTTTCAGTTTTTCTTGCCTAAGTGTATCCCAAAGCTGTTCTGACCAATCTGAAAGCAGCCCGAGCTCAAAATGATTGATACTATTCAAATGAAAATATCCTAAGCCTTCACTGTTAAGGCAAAATAATGCCTTAAAAAGGGAGAGCAATTTTTTAATCCTCTGAAGAAGTTTCACTGTGAAAAGTGAAGGGTGAGAAGATTATATAGCGGGCAATTGGACTGCTGTCTTGCCTGACTCGTTCTCTTCTATGGTAACCGGAAGCCCATATTGTCCATCTTTTGCTTGATTTCTGCACCACGTCTAGCATCCCCAAATTTGCAAATTCCCAATAAGTACAACTACCATTCAACAAACTCAATGAGAATGTAGTATTTAGTATGCTAGAGACTCTTGAAATTTAAGATTCTACCACACGCTTTTTCCAGGCCATAAAATATGTTAGTTAAAAATATATATATATATAGGATCTCCTTGATCAAGAGGCAAAGTTTTAGATAGAAAACTGGCAATGAGCCAAAGCACGCATATTTAATAATTAGTTTATTCATGCATTATAGTCATTTGACATTTTTTCCTTGCTGTCATAGAACTTCAACGAGTTTCCATTGGCCCCTAGCGGTCAGGGAACCCAGCTTTAAAAACATTGTTTTAGCTTTGGAAAAACAGAGATAGTTTGCATGAAACAAAACAAGGACAAATAATCAAGATTTGAAGAGATTTCCGCAATCATTTGAAGCATTAAGTAACTTGTATCAGTTGAAATTAGTTCATACTAATATGCCTCGAATTCTTATAAATTCATGTAGGTACTCGTATTCTTTGAATATAGTCATATATTTTCTAAAGCACAGGAAACCTGTTGCCCCTTTGTTGTACTCAAATTCCTATCACTCTAGCAAAATGGCTAATTGTAAAAGATATTAGAGGCTACCATTCAGGACTTCTCTCTTTTAAATTAAGTATGAAAATATTATTCAAGACATTCTTCTTTACAAAGAGCCTTTTAAATAGAATTTATTCTCAGACATGTTGTCTGGATTACAAAAGTAATTTGCAAAAAGCCAAATCGATTCAATAGTACAGCAGAAAAACCCATCATGTTTGGGTTGGTTAATCTAATAATAATTAATCTAATAATCCACAGTCAATTTGCTGGCAGAAGAATTCTGGAATTTGTGACTGATCTGGAGGGCATTCAGACTGAGGAAAGCTGTGTTAGAGCAATACTCAGTTTTAAGACTAATAACTTGTTTCTAGTAACTTGCTCTTCATGTGCTGATCTATTTCTGTAAGGAAAAAAAATCAGTGCAATAGATTTATAGAGATGCTGACACATCCTAGGCTTTATTTATAGTTGGAAGTGATGGCAACAAGCTCTCTAATCTCTGTCTTTCAAAGAAATGAAATCAAAGGGAAAAAGGTGCTATATTTTCTTCACACATCACAAACATTTCAGAGTAACATGGCAAAATTGTTAAGGATTTTGCTAAGTGAAATGTCTAAAGAGATAGTTAAATTGTGCCACTTGATGGATTGGTGAATAAAAAGGTTACTTTTGAAAAATAATGACTGTAGTGAATGAAAGATCTGGGTCTCCTAGAAGCATATCTTATTCCTTATTCAAATGCACTGGATATTAAATTTTCATATGCAAATTTTTAAATGTTATTTTTCTAATGAGCTGAAAACAAAAATTTAGGCTTATAGGCATAATACTTGAGAATATTTCAGACGAACTTAATTCACCCAAGGCACCCAATGACTTGGTAATATAACTTGTAATGATCATAGTTCACTTCTACACCAGATTTAAAACAAAGGTTTAAAGTAGATCAGTTTTAGTAGAGTAAACAATGGTGATTTGCCAGCAGCACCGTTATTTTGACATTGGAAGGCATTGTGTGCAAGCTTTACCAAATACTTTTCTAAACCTAAATATGTGACCTGCCACATCACATTCAGGAGAAACACAGGTGGATATCATAGGTCCCCCCTGCCCCCCGCCGAATATGGCTTGGCATATTTTTATTATCAAAACATGACTGGAATAATGCATTAGTGATTATTTGGATATTTAAAAGTTTGTAGCCCTGTTTCCAATACCATTTTTGAGATATACCAACAAAATGTGTTCTTCATATATAGCACAATGGGCAAAATTGCTTAGTCTTGACTGGTGACTAACTCTCTGTACTACTATCATTTGGGACATTAGCCTTAAAATGTCACAGGCTTAATTCAGGCTTGGTCCTGGGCAGATGGCCTAATTACCGCAAACTTCAATGTGTGGGTGGCATTCTTTCACCACATTAAAATCAACAGTTTACTGTGCATTAACTCACAGCAGTTCCACGTGCAGTGATTCCTCCTCCTTTTTCAGAACTAGCCTTCAACCAAAAAGCTCCACTCCAGAATCAAACATTCCAGGTGATTTCCATTGCAAAATAAAAATAAAAAGGTTTGTGTAGGTATTTGCATGAATTGTTTAGCAAGACCTATTTTCACACCCTATTATCCTTCCACTATCGATATCATTTATTTGAAGATCAAAGGTGGCTTGCTTGTGGCTCTTCAAAATAACTGCCCAGCTAAGAATCAATTCTACTATAAATTAGGCAGATCCTCATTTTAACCAGGAGTTTATCTTCCCTCCGGCTGATACTTCTTAATACCTTTAGTTTTATAACAGAAGATTGAACAAGGCATCAAGAAATGAATTTTTTTTGTTACTATAGACATTAAGCATAGAAACAATGGTTAAAAGGGAACTGGGAATTTAAAATTGTTTCTCCAAAGGACACTCAGTGGAACGTAACAAAAATGTTGTAGATAGAGGTCTCTTTTTGTTACAACTGTACCAATTCCTGTCAGAGGAATGGAGACATGGGTTCTTCAGTGGAATAGGGTTGATTAATTCACCACATTTGAAGTAATAAACAATGTTACTTGAAAAGGACATCTGCCCCACATCTGGGTAGGAATATTCTGTACACTGGAAAAATATTACTGAACTGCATCATGCTAAATTGATTGTTAATCAGTTTGATCTCAAACCATACAGATTTAATAACAGAGTCTTTAGATCTCTCTTAATCCCTATTAAGTTGCCTGTGAAGTTTGTCTTGATCAAGTTGAATCATGGCAGTCTGCAATTGCCCGTGGTTCTATAACATCTTGTCACATATGCGTCCACATGCAACTGTTGTTCTTTGTAGTCAGTAGTGTGTGTGTGTGTGTGTGTGTGCGCGCGCACACTTGTGTGTGTTTCTGCTAGGATAGCAGAGGGAAAAGAAGGGTGGAGCCCTAAAAACAAAAGGAACATTGGAAAGAAGGGCAAGGAGACAGAGGTGTAAAGTCTGGCAGAAACAAGATGGATCTATACACTATTGGCTATATAAGAGTTGTTATTGGTTCAAAGGTAGGTTGGGCTAAGGTTCTCAGAAGTGCAGCAGGGTGTAACCTGAAGAACAGGAGGAATCTTTGTGGGACAATTCTGAAAACAGTGTGTGGGAAACTGAGGAAGATGTGGAAGGGGAGTCATACCCTACCAGAAGTTAAAACACAAATTTTAAACAAAAGGAAACAATGTCATGTAGCATAACATCCTAATTTCCCCCTAAGTAGGATAAAGGTTTCTTTATTTTACCTACTCTAGTTGTGTCTCTCTCTCTAGGGGCTGGTGCTCATCTCAGTTTTTAGCCGAGAGAGCCAGCATTGTCTGAAGACATTTCCACAATCAGGTGGCCAGCATGACTATTTGCTTATGTGCACAGAATGCTGTTATCTTCCCACCAGTGATACTTATTTATCTACTCGCATTTGCAGGCTTTCAAGCAGCTAAGAGGGCAGGAGTTGAGGCAAATAATGGGAGCTCACCCC